CTCTGCCTTCACAAACCCCCCCCCCCCAACACACATCACATAAACACACACATACACACACAGATCTATGTGGATGTGTATGTCTTGAACCCAAATCCAAATTCAGATCTACACAAATTTGTGTTTTAGATCTATGTAGATATGAACTTTAATTGTTACAAGAGAGAGAGAAAGACACAAATGCAAACAAAAAAAGACACTGGAAAGAACCCAGATCATGTGTGTATTTTGTTTGGATTTGTCGAAGTGGAGAGAGAAATTCTGGCAATTGTTGCACAACATCGTTGCAGAGAGAGAAAAAAAAAACATAAAGTGAAGGGTTTTTATACTTCAACAAAAAAAAATACATTTTACTGCAAGAAAAGTTTGATGGGTAGACCTCGTTAAAGAGGAGGGACTATTTCTCTTGTTTTTTTTTATTTTTTTTGCTTCAAATCTCATTTTTTTTCCCAAAAATTTGAGAACAAAACTGCTAACCAAATATATTTTGAGTGTTTCTGAAATTTTTAGAATAAAAAATAATTTTGCAGATTCAAACCAAACACCCCCTTGAATCTTTTATTATTAAAAAACTTATAAATGATGTATTGATTTAGAAATTATGAGAATCTAATTCTAACAAATAAGTCATGGCAATATCAAGATACATGACACAATTAATTAATTAAATAAAATTTAATTGATTAACTTACAAGATGAATCTAAAAATATACGAATACAATATTCAATTGTCCAACCTAAATTTTATTATGGAATCCTAGTGCTGATGGGGGGTGGGGTTCCGTTTGCATCCTTCTCATATCCCACGCATACTTTTGTGGGCCCTTAAAAATTCTTCGAATCACAGCCGCTAGTTACGCCTCAACTTCCGATTAACGCAAAGCTGTTGTGGATCACCAACCACTTTAACTTTTTTTGGGTGCAAATCTCACTTTATTCACTTGTGCTCTTTATTTTGTGGTTTCACTTCACAAGCTTGCCCTTTCTTCTTGTAAAGCCACGTGTAATTCTCTTTAATTTATTTCTTATTTTTTATTACATCACCTATCATTTTTTTTAAATAGAGCCTATTTTATATAAATGTGTCCTTTTATTAATACATACTAAATGATCTATAAAGGAAAAAAAATATTAGAGAGAATATGGGACTATATTATATGTAGACCCAAATCTCTTTGAGTATATTTTCTTTAATTCTTTTAATTACAAACCAAGATTTCTCAAATATTTGGCTCTACATAAGAACTCTGAAAAAATATTGAAAGGGGTTCATAGAAATAAATAGTGAATTAAAGGTTTTTCGTCTATATTTTTTCAAACTAATTAACTAGAAAAAAAATTAGAATATTGCTTTGTGATATGTAAATATATTCTAATTTTTTTACTTTATGTTTTCAAAAAATTATGTTCATGAAAATTTTTTGTACTTTTTCTAGGGCATTTGGATATGACTCTTCGAAAAAGGATTATTTGGATATAGATAAATAATATTTTATTTTGTTAAATTAATTTTCTAAAGCAAAGCTTAGGCAAAAAAATTTGATATGTCATAGCCTAGGAAACACGGATACGAATACGGCGATACGACAAAATCTAAAAAAAAAAGATATGGGTACGGTCAAGATACAACTATAATAAAATATATTTAATATTTTTATTATTTTCAATCAGCATAATACTTATATATTTTGATAGTTTTTTAACACAATAAGAAAAATTTATAATTCTTTTTAGTTTGAAGAAAATATATATTACATCACTATGGTAAATTCACAAAATGAAGTGATTAATTAAAGGAATCAAAACTAAAATTTATCGAGTCGGTTTATTTAGAAGTGATTTTTACTAAAACTATAATATAATAGATTTATTTTTTTACTCTTTTGACATGTAATTGTAGATAATATATAAAAAAAAAATACTCATATGCTTTTGAAGTATTACGAATTTTTATAAATGTATTCTATAGTACGTGAATTAGACAGAAAATGTTAAAAATTTAACTCAAAAATTATATATATTACTTGAATACAAAAATATCTATAAAATATGTTAATATTTAATTATTATTAGATACGTAAAAAGTGTAACTGATACGTATCCTCAAGTATTATATCTAATAAAATATTTGATACGGATATATTGATCCCAACAAAATATTCATGCTTCATAAGCCATGGCACATATCTGTTTTAGACACTTATGTTTAATATTAGACAAAAGTAATCAAAGGTACAAAGGACATTGTTATGGAAATAGAAAAAGGGAGTATCTTCATGTTCTAACAAATAATAATTATCTCAAAAGACGACATCTTTGACATGATTCATCACAAGTAAGCACATAAATAAATATGAAAGTAAAGATAGTATCTTGTTAACACCGTCACTTGATATTACTGGTAAATAAGAACACAATTAAATAAAAAAAAAGTAAATTGCACTATACTATGTAAAATAATTATTATTTTATATAAAAAAAATAGTTATTTAATATTGTGAGATTTATTTATTTATTATTTTTTAATAAATAATAACACAATAGATATCATCACCGTTAGGTTCAACATATTCCGACAAACAGCAGTAGCACTGAACCGTGGAAACCACGTTGAAGGAAAGATCGTAGGACTTGTAAAACAAAAACTCCAAATTTTACAATAGAGGACCATCAATGGCAGTAAAATTACATGAACTGCCACTGATACCCTCCCGAGGCACCTCCATAAGTAGTCCACCTTCCTCCACCCATTCCCCTCCACTCCCACCTCTCATTCTATCTTTGCTCTTTCTATTTCTCTAAATCTATAGAGTGTGTTTGTTTTATTAGTTAAAAATGAAAATGGGTGTTGTGAGTGTGGCCTGCATTGTCTACATTATCTCTCTCTTGTCACTGGTTGAAGCTAGAATCCCAGGAGTTTACACTGGAGGATCATGGCAAAATGCACATGCTACCTTCTATGGAGGCAGTGATGCCTCTGGCACCATGGGTACGTCTCCAAATCAACTCTCATTTCATCAGTGTTAAGTGTTTTGTCTGTGGCTCAAGCCATTTCTTCTGCATTTTCATGTAAAAGAAACAGAGTACTCGGTTTTTTTGTTCTGTTCATGTTGCCTTGAAACAATTTTGTATATCATTTTTTGTAGTTCTGTTTCAGGCTTCTAATGGAAAGTCCACATTTCCTCTTTACTACTAGCAGAACCCCACCATTTTGCTTCCAACTTCAAACCAAGACTAAAAATCCACCATAAATCCTGAATTAATCCTAGCAAAAATCCATCAAATCACCTGCGTTTTACTTAAACATCCCAAATTTGCAAATTCACTACTGCTTATCCACTTGTAACTCTATCAATCTGTCTGCAATTTGCGTACAGGTGGGGCATGTGGGTATGGCAACTTGTACAGCCAAGGCTACGGAGTGAACACCGCAGCACTAAGCACAGCACTCTTCAACAATGGGTATAGCTGCGGCGCATGCTTTGAGATCAAGTGTGCCAACGACCGGGAATGGTGCCACTCCGGCAGTCCCTCGATTTTCATCACGGCCACCAACTTTTGCCCACCAAACTACGCGCTTCCCAACGACGATGGTGGCTGGTGCAACCCTCCTCGCGCACACTTCGACCTGGCCATGCCCATGTTCCTCAAGATCGCCGAGTACCGTGCCGGAATCGTCCCCGTCGCTTACCGCCGGTAACATTCTCTCTCTTCTGCTCTGTTAGTATTTGTTTGTGCTCTGTTTTCTACAAATTTTGGTTCATTGTGTGGGTCTAGTTCTGTTCTGGTCAGATTCTAGTTGGCCTTTTTATTGCTTTTGTCAGATCGTTCACTGCTCATACAACTGTTGCTCTCAATTGACCGAATTACCCCTATATTCCTTAAAGTATTTTTTTCATTGGTAGATAGATAGTTGGGTAGTATTACTGAATTAATAAGAGCTTAATAGGGCTGTAAATATATTACACAACCCATCAAGTGGACATGCATGCACTTAGAGAATATTAGTTAGTTTTTAAGTTCCACATACTTGAATTTACCTGCCACACTCTTGAATAATAAGTAAAAATAACACGAACTTGAATTAAATATGATACAAATTTGATTTCTCCCGGGATTTATATACTATGAAATCGACTAAAACACGATTTTAAGTGGGTCAAAGTGTAAATTGGACAAATTTTAAACACCGGACCTAAGGGTACCACTTTGCTATTCCATGTTATCTTTGAAAAGGAGGAGGTAAGGAAGGGGCATTTTGGCTAAGGATACTAAAGCTGTCGGTGTGAACATTTCGTAACCGAAAGTCCAAAGCGAGCTTCTATTAGTTGGTTGCACTGTGCTTGGTCAAACTCAAAACCAATTAAGTAAAACAAACGACACCGTTTTAAAGAAGGAATAAATAGTCAGAACACAAAACATATCACGTGAGGTTCGTTACTACGACGGGCTCCACCTATCCCGTATCTTTACCCACTACGAACTTGACACGTGTACAACATTACAGTCTGCCCCATGTCAAACACTAGACGGGACACAAGGAGGTGGTGGGGACACGGTCTTCAATATGAGACTGGGAGACTCGTTCATCGATGTGAAAAGGCTCAGCCGTACCGCGTCCCTACCCCTTTAATTCTCTGTTCGGAGAGCACGCTAACAAAACCTCATGGCTTGTAAACTGACCATACTGACCTTTGTTTTTCTGTATTATTTTCGCAGGGTGCCATGCAGGAAGCATGGTGGGATCAGATTCACAGTCAACGGTTTCCGTTACTTCAACCTGGTTCTGATCAGCAACGTCGCGGGAGCAGGGGATATCGTGAACGTGTGGATCAAGGGCTCCAAGACCGGTTGGATGAGCATGAGCCGTAATTGGGGTCAAAACTGGCAGTCAAACGCCGTTCTGGTGGGACAGTCTCTGTCCTTCCGGGTCAGGGCCAGTGACAGACGGAGCTCCACTTCCTGGAACATTGCCCCGGCCCACTGGCAATTCGGTCAAACCTTCACGGGAAAGAACTTCAGGGTCTGAAGAATACATGTCAGAAACTGGAACTACAACAGCAACTGAATTTCAAATCTCCCGCGTTAATTTAATTTCCTTTTTTACCCATTTTGGCGCCATTTTGGTTCTTTTTTGACTCTTGGGTTATTGGGGATTGTGAAAGTTGGAAATTTGTTTGGGTGTGTTAGGAGAAAGAAGAGAGGAGTGACCACTTTTTTGACTTTTCGCAACTTGGGGGGTGTGTGAGTTGTGGCTCAGTGACTCACTGAGTGGAGTGGGGATTGTAAGAAAGTAAGTGGTATTAAGAGACAGTATAAGGGAGTGTAGGTAGTGCTGAGGCGGCTGCAGAAAGTATGTGGCCCGCAGCTATAAATTATATATAGTATGATTGTATTTATGTGTTTGGACTAATCTACAGTTTTTAAATTGGGAAAGTTTTATGGGTTTTCTTTTTTGACTTGAATTTTTATTTATGTTGTCGTTTTTTAACCTCGTAAGATTGGGCATTTTATGTTTATGAACTTGAAGTATACTTGAATTACCAAATGCATTAATATAATTCTCTTACGCACCCCAAAAAAAAAGAATTGCCTCCATTACAACCTACTTACTGAATGGAGCTTCGTTCAGTGACAAAACACAGGACACTTTTGATGCTAGGGTATAGTGACTAAATATTTCAAGGTTTCCAGTTTGAGTATGTATAAGAGATCCTCTAATTGACACGATGCATACGCATACAAATCTACACATTTTGAGTTTGCAGAGCAAAACACAAGTTCAAAAGACTAGTATGGCGATCCCAACTCGATTATGGAGTGGTGGTGGTGGGAGACAACTGATGTCTTCACATATAGTTGTAGTGAAGTGAGCTGTTTTCTTCATCTTTGGTCATCTCACACTGTTCATAATATTTGGATTCTTGAATAAGGTCAAAAAAGCAGAGCTTTGGATACCTTGCACAATGTGTCTTCTTTTCATCTTGGACATGTGACCTGGAGATATTCCTTTCCCATCATGCAAACAGAACGACAGATTGAAGATCAATCAGATGCCCAATTTCAACATTTCATCCTACTTTCAGGAATTTTTTTTTCCCCCAGTGTGAATCAGTATCTTCAAATCATTGAACACTATTTGTGAGCCCACCATTGATGGCAAGGCGATTGAGATTTATATAAAATAAAAAAAATGAAGAATCCTGATTTGGTGGGACCCAGATTGGAATAAGAGATGTACAGTAAATAGGAAAATTACATAGTTTTATAGATGCCTAACACGTGGTTTTATAGAACACCAAGAATCATCCGATCTAAATCAAGCAAGTTCTACACGAAAAAGATTTGGTTCTAACTGAGACTGTATGAGAAAAGCCCGAGTCAAAAGGCAGGGAAACTAGATGCTGGTAATTGATTAATTCTTTGGGTGATCCCATGCCTGCAATGCAAAATGACGGAGAAACGAAATTGAGAGAAGGAAGCTCTATTTTAAGAAGCTGAATACGAAAACAACCATGGGGCAAACGAAGCCACATGAAATTGTTCTAGGTTGGCAGAAGATCAAAAGGTATTCTATCTATCTTTCCAGTATGCCCACCTTGCATATGCCTGTCTCTTGTTGTTGATAGATGCACGTTAGCATAACTTAAATTCACTTGACAAAGAAATAAAATTTTCATTCACTTGATAAAAAAAGAAAATTTTCATTCACTTAAGTGACTTTTATATGACTAAATATAATAATATAAGTGACTTCCAATGGTAAGTTTCATTTTGATATTTGCAGTTTTGCACTAAATTTCCCACCCATAGAAAGAAGTAAAGCAGCGCAAATATGAAAACAAAGGCATATACACACAATTGAAAACATATCAGAAAATGCTTATCAATACCTCAGTTATATGCACAATTAAGTCTGATATTGGAACCACCCTGTGAATTAACTAAAGCGCATAAGGGTATAAAACTCTAAGTGAATATATCCTAAGAACAACATCAAAGATCAGAGAATGAAACAAAACATTCATGGAATGGGAAGTATTTGAGTTGTAGGCATTTGATGATGAATAATATGAATCCTGTATAGCCAAGTTGATCAATCACCAAACTCTAGTTTTTCCTCCTTTTGTGCACCGTCCACTGCTTGAGTATGTATGATACCACCTCTTTCAGTTTTGCTTTTCTTTCGTATTGATAATTCCAGAGCTCTGGTATGATGTACCGACCACTGGGGTTGTACTCATTCATCTCCACCAATGCAGCAATCACAGCCATGTAAACTTCATCGCCAAAATCATTCTTCAGTTCTTTCAGTTTTTCATCCTCTTCGTCAATGATTTCCTTAGCACACACAGTCAAATGGTACAATGAGGTCAACCATATATTAATAAAGATGAAATTGATCGAAGAGGAATAGAAAAGCCTTGAGCACTTTCGACAGGGATATGAAGCAATTCTCTGCCAACCATGCCAAATGAGGGGCAATTGAATGCTACAATAAGGGTGACAGAACATGGTCATTGTTCAAGTGAGGTTAAAAAAAGGATGAATAGGCTTAGCAGCTAGAAAGTTGCAGTTTGCATGTCAATAAAGGCTCATTACCTGGGCGGCATGTAAACCTCAAAGCTAATTTGGAATAAGCACTTCTTTCTGTAGAAGAGATGCTGGCCCAGAGTTGAATTAATTTCCATATTGAAGTGATTTTTCTAGGTAAAGGCGATATTTAGCCATTTTATGTCCCCCCTAACAAAAATAACTACTCACAAAAAAATTATACACACTCTCCAAGTTTTAAGTTTGTGCATGCTCATCTATACATCTATCAAGGTAGAAGTTAAAAGAGAAAATTGTCAATAAATGATGCATTCTTTGAAATGAAATGCATGACTGAAAATAGTATGTTGAAAGTGGGGGAATACGTAGTAATGTTTTGTAGCAGTGCATACCTTATGATCCTTACCACCTTCAATCATGACAACCTTAAAAGGGTGCCAGCTAGGATCCCTAAGATAATCCTCCCATTGTGAACACAATTCCACAGCTTTCTCATCTGCTTCTTTTTTGGAAAATTTTCTCTTGGCAAAGTCGTGGAATGGCTTGTTATCGAGTTCTCCGATTCTCTTGACACCAATCAAAGCCCGAGAAGACTGCTGCTCCTTCAAGGCCTACAAGACAAGAAAATAGGTTTTGTTTACCAAATAGGAGTGCTAATCACCTATAACCTGAAAACTACAAGTAATTTTTTTTGTAGTGATCAATCTCAGAATGTTTAAGTTGGTCTGTTTTGATATATCATTTGCCTGATTTTCAAAAATTCTTTATTACCTAAAATGCTAATAGTTTTGCTAGCTCCAGCTGGATAAATGAAACTAAATCTATGCTTAGTACAGACTACAGATTAAGGGCCATTGGCAAATCAAGGAATCAAACATGCAGGTATGGAAAAGAAGTTCAATAGCAATTCCACATAGTTAGAATGGACCTCAAGTGAGAGGCATCCAGATTCCACCAATATATGCCATTGGCTATTATAGGAGATAATAGTTAAAAAACACATGCAAACGGGGATACAAAAACAAAATATGCCTCGTGCAGCATCCTGATATTTTATGGATGAGGCAAACACAATTTATCTAGCGAATTGCCTGAAATTCAAGGCAGTAATATTTTATGAAATTCTTATTCAAACAAAGGGGAATACTGCACTGTAAATGCACGTTGGAAACCAAGTAGTATTTTCTCTATGATTTTTCCCCAACCATAAACTAGAAATAAAGAAACCCATTTTTAAATTTGCATTAATCACAAAGAAGCTTCTGAGAAACTAAAGCTAATTGAAGATTAACGGAGACATCAGTGTACTACTATCATGATAACAGATTTACAGACCTAGTCTTTGCCTCCTTGGTCTACTTCACAATAACAGGAGTTTATATTTAAGCACTTAGTTGAATCATATTTTACAGTCTACGACGTGTTTCAGCTACCTTTAAAGTACTATAAGATACTCTCTCACACAAGTAGGAGATATTATTCTCATTTGTTTTACCAAGTTGTTTCTGGATGATATTAATTAAGGAAAACTCATTGCCTGCTTTTGCCTGCATGTTAATAATTCTTAGCAAAATGTTGTGCAGTCTGCAGCTATTCTTTATTGTGGATAGGATGAATTACATTGCTGGTTCTATAACACTCACATCAATTAACTCCTTACGAGCTTCTTGCAATTCATCATTGCTTTTGCGTTCCTTGACAACAAGGGCTTGATTCAAGGCTTCCAGATCTTCAAGTTCCTCTTCCTTCTCTTTAAGGTTCTTTTGAATATTATGCATCTTGTCCTCGATTTCCATATCCCCATCCTCTCCCATGTGTTTCATAACTAGCAGAGCTCCTCTCATACGCTCTATCTCCAACTCCAATGCTTGCTTGGCATCAAGTTTCTTTTCTAGTTCAAGAATTCTCTTGTGCAGTTTCTCTTTTTCGCTCTGGCATTAAAGTCATATACACATCACCAATTATAAAATTAGAACCAATCTATAAAGATATAACTTGTATTTTCGTGTTTCAAGTAAAGTAGAAAACTTCTTGTTATACCTTTTGATCTTCTGCCAACCTTAGAACTTTTTCATTTGCCTTCTTTTGCTCCAAGGTAGCTTTCTCATTCTGAAAGAGAAAAACAAATCAGTTACTCTTCCATTTGCAGCACTAGCATATTCAAGGACGGAAGCTAGACTATATCTCGACCGTGGTACAATTTATTTCTTTTCAGAAAGAAAAGGAAGATGACGTGGGATGCCATGCTTCTCCACCCGATAATTCTACATAAATCATAGGGAAGCTGCAGTACCATTTGCTTCTCTAAATAGAGCTTCCTTCTCTCATTTTCATTGTAGGCCTCTCGTTTCCCTAGTTCTTTTTCATGCTCCTCAAGTTCTCTCTTTTGGCCTTCCAAGTGGAATGTGATTTTCTCATGCTCCTTGAAAGTCTTCTCAAGCTGCTCACGAGCACTCTTCTGCATCTTGCGAATCTCTAATTAACATCAAACAAGTAAAACTACTGTGATAATGGTATTATCAAAAGAAAACCCCAATGAGAAGAAAAATTCAACTACTACTATACCTAAAGCTATTTCCCTTGTGATTCAAGTGCATACCTTCATTATAAGCTTGGTGCATTTTGTCTTTTTCAGTCATCAAATTGTTAAGGGAAATGAATGTTTCATTATACTTGCACTCAATCTCCTTGAGCCGCTGATTTTTTACATCTATTACATTTGTCAGATTTGACACAAGTTTGGTAGTTTTACGCTTCTCTTCTGCTTCAATTTCAGAAATACTTTTCATGTCTCCTGTTTTTCGAAGATGCTCACCAATTATTCCATTTGTATTAAAGTCATCCTCGCGGGCAACCCATCCATATAAACCATCTCTTGTGTGCTTTGCTGCATAATAATCCCTCTTTCCCCTACGATTTGCTTCATAACTTTTTTCAAACAGCATTGCTTTGTTGAATCCAGGCCAATCTCTGTTAAATTCAACTATTGCATACCCTGAAAAACCCCTGTGGTTCCACAGTGGATGAACTCTCACTGGGTTAAACCCCCTTCCAGTCAAATCTTCCCTAAGCCTTGAACCACTCTCGCTGACATATCGCCCATCCTTCCAATAATGAGGAACATTTGCCACAATTCCCATCCACGGCCAAACAAATAACTCATTTACATCCCTATCTTGAGGAGGCTCAGTAGTCTCCATCATTGATTGTGCTGATAACCCCTGCTGACCAAGACCCTCTTCCATGTACCTCACTAATCCTAAATGCATCCCTTTCTTTCTTAAATCCCTGCTATGCAGACCCTTTCCAACCCCAGATGCATGTTGCAGAAGATCCTTGTAGCTGTAATCCTGCTTCTTCTTGCTGGGGCAGTACGGGCACCTGAATAATTCATCTAAAACTTTCACCTTTTCCTTGCCATTTTTCAACTCCTTATAACATCTATCAGCATATTCCTCCAACTCTGGTTCACTTAGATCAGTTTCCTCTTCAGATGAGTAAGACATTGTTGCAGAAAACCTGAAATGAAAAAGAATAATCAATTTTCCAAAGACAAACAACATCTATGTTCTTACCGTAACATCTATTTTGTGAAAGCGAAACAAAATAAAAGAATAGAAAACAGAACTTCAGATCATTATTGTGTTCAGTTGTTTAAAAATTTGGGAAACATCACCTAATTAAGTCCAGCATAATCATACTCAATGGAATGTAAATGATGTTTTCCCAAATCATGTATAGATACTTTTAACGTAAGACTCAGAATGGATGACATTTGAAGCGGACATATGTAGACCAATTTTTCTGAAAGTTATTTGGGGTAATTGTAGGATAAGAAATACACAACACCTTATCTCATTTTGGTTTCAAAAGAAATAGAAGAAAATAAATCTTCAAAGCTCAAGTTTATGTTTCTTTGTTTCTTGCCAATGAAGCCTCATGTTAGGTAGTCTCAGTTTATCTAATATTCTTACTTGCTCAGGTCAATAGAGTGAAAAATACAGGTCTCAGTAAGTTCATATCACAGTTATTCTCCCATATTCGCTCAGAAATTGGTCAGCAAACATACACACCGAGGCATCATGATGATACTGAATTAAAAAGAACTGCAGATTGGCAAAAAATAGAAATAACAATAATTAAATTATGAATGTCAAAAGATGAGTAGCACTGAATCTTATAAAATTCCTCGTTTTGTCTCCCACAAAGCACAAAGAAAAGGAAAAAATTGTAACTGTGTTGAGGTACCCAAAAGTAATGAAATGTTTCAGATACTAATAATCTTTCTATTCATCGTAAATACAAGAAGCCAACCTTAGCACATAATACTGAAAACTAAGAATATATGAAGAAAACGATTGCAGAAGGAATTTTCTGAAAAGTTAAGTAATATAAATCTATAAGGTGTCAGACCATTAAGAAACCAAACATTCATCCATCAGATTTAGGAGGAAAAAGGAAATCACTGAAATTCTACAGTCACACACTGCATTTGGTGCCAACAAGGAAAATTGAACTTAGAACCTCAAGTTTTATACCACATTGCTCAAATTACAGAACAAACTCACTCAANACACTGCATTTGGTGCCAACAAGGAAAATTGAACTTAGAACCTCAAGTTTTATACCACATTGCTCAAATTACAGAACAAACTCACTCAAGAAGTCTCATAATTATGGTGGTGTTACTCTCTTTTTTGGTGGACATCCACATTTTCTCTGATCAAATGTGAAAGACACAATGGAACTCAGCTTGCTGCTCTTGCCCCACATTTTCTCAACAAACAGACAGAACATATGCATACAAGGTGATCAGCATCATTACTATTAAACGGGCAAGAGCTCAAATGTATGTCATAATTAATGAATCATAAAATGTCGAAAGCCAGAATATTCCTCCACTCTCTTTTGATTTCCAAGAAAACTAGATATTCCAAACCTATTTGTGGCNTCATTACTATTAAACGGGCAAGAGCTCAAATGTATGTCATAATTAATGAATCATAAAATGTCGAAAGCCAGAATATTCCTCCACTCTCTTTTGATTTCCAAGAAAACTAGATATTCCAAACCTATTTGTGGCCTATTAGAGATGCAAAAAAAAAAAAAAACTCACCTTACCAAGCCACGTAGCTAGTTTTAATCTCAGTTGTATTATGAGTTGAACATATATAATTTCTTATGCCACAATTAAGAAAAAATAACTCTGGGAGAAATATAAGATCCCTTTCTCCACATAGTCTTAGCAATTAAACGAAGCATATAAAAAGAAAATCATCAAATCCGAGGGCTAAAAGAAAAAATAATCGAAGTTATAAGCTCAATAGTTGAGAACTATTGATCCTTTTTATACAATTTAATTTATTTGATTTCCAAGAAATACATAAGAAATTCAGATAATTGTAACCTTAGTCTGGGATAGCAAAACTCTCACTAGATCAAATTGCTGAGAGCTAAAGAAAAAACCTGCATTCGTGTATTGTTAAGGAAAGACTAAGTATANTAGATCAAATTGCTGAGAGCTAAAGAAAAACCCTGCATTCGTGTATTGTTAAACCCAGGAAAGACTAAGTACAACAAAGAGAATTGTAGTGTTGGTCCCATAAAAATTTAAGAAAAAAAAAAAGTCATCCAACTAACAATGTACGACACTCTTAATCTCAGTTTAGTATATGTACAGTTTCACAAAGGGCAAACTAAAAAATAATGCCGGAAAACCATATATTTCTTTCACTTTTTCCTATTAACCAAACATAACATATAAGCATACTTATCATGAAAACAATCTTACAGAAAATATGTATAAAATATCATCATGACCTGAAATAAAATAAAACAATCGGAGAGCTCAAAAAAAAAAAAAAAAAGGAAAAACTGAAGCAGAAAATGCATCAATCAAAATTCACAAGCAAGCATGTACGTCTTTATATGTCACAAAACAAACCGGAAAATAATGACTGGAGAAAACACTTTCCTCTCATTTTCTCTCTACTTCACAGCAAGCAAACACTAAAAGAAATCATGAAAATCCCAAAACAGAGTAGATATGTCTCAAAAAGAGGGAACAGAGGATACCGAGATATTTGCAGAGATGTTTGCCTCTTCAACAGCTAAAAAAAGAAGAAGAAATACAGAAACCAGCTCTTTGTATGATTCAATATCTTGCTTTTGAATGTGAAAAAGAAAAAGAAATATTAGAAAATAAAAGAAGATTTATATGGCAAACGAGCAAAACTTACAAAAAAAAAAAGAAGAGGTTGATATGAGGAGTGGGATGAGAACAGGTAATCTTCTTTATGTTTGAGAGAGAGAGCGCGTCTGTGTCTGTTATGTGATTCTGCAAATCAGCATACAAATGAAGAACGCATACTCTGATGTACAGTGAGTGCTCTGTTAATGTTGTTGCTGCTGCTAAGTAGCCGTAGTAGTAGTGGTAACGTGAAGGAAGGACGCCGTCCCTTTCTCTTCTTCATGTTTTGGTTGCGGAAGTTTTTACTCGCTATTTTATTGGACTGGGTTTTTTGGTAATTACGAAAATGTTCCGGTTTAGCAACACGTGGTGGGCTGGCAAATGGAGGCAGATTTTTGATTTTCTGGGACCCAATTAATGTACGTGGAGGCGGTGGGCTTTGTGGTCCCACTCAGAGGCAGCCCCGGTTTGTATGAAATTGAATAAATCTTTTACAAAATATTATTTTAACTTAATTTATTTATCTTATTTGTTCGTGAATGCATACTAACCACTGTTGAATTGGTGATAGATTCAAACTAATATTCGAGTTTAATTTCAATCCATTAACAATGATTCATTAGCTTAGTCAATAAATTAAAGAGAAACTTTCAATAAGAAATGTTTTTTCTTATAAATATTCATTAAATTCTATCATGTTTGTTTTATATCAATGAAATTTTATTTTTAGTATTTTAATGCATATTTATAAAATAAATTAATATTTATTAATACTTTTTTCTATATTAAATCTAAGTAACATTGGTCTCTAATTTTTTGTTATGGGGGTCTTAGAATTGAAACCATGACTATTATCTCACTAATTAAAAGAGATCACTATCAATTTGAGAATTGTGGATTGGTTGGCGGAGTTCACTTGTATCGTATAATTTGTTTTGAGTAAAGATTGTGTCACGTGAAAATTTATCCAACTAGTGTCTTAATTATTTATAAACATATATATTCAAGTTTGTATAATACCAAGTTCAAACTGTATAAAAGTTATATTTAATAAATTAATTTCGTGTTTAGCTGAATTCGTATATGGTGATTTATTTGCGGATGTAACATATACACATGTTTCTCATTAAAACCTTGTTTTGAACTGGACAACAGCTAAACTGAAATACACTAATTTCATTTTAATTTTGTATTGAATATACAAATGTCTTGAATTATCACACCTACTAGCAACAACCTAAACGGCAAGATCAAGGTTTGAGCACTCTCTCATTCCTTCGTTTGTTTGGGGGGTCAAGAAAAAGGAAGGAGCAAACAATAACGAGTAACCTCGTTGGTGTGATAATGAGGTCCCCCGTTGTAGAGTGTTTAGTTGGAGTCATAATTACTAATCTGGAAGGACAGTCCGTTACTATACCACCACCAAAGCCAACCAAAAAATCACATTGTTCCCGTGATTCGAATTCTACTTGATAACCCTATGAGAGTAAAAAACGATCCTAAACGAGTACGACTTACTATTGGACTACCAGCTCGCATGCTAATATCCCGTTCAAGCACCGAATTCAAGGTTTGAGTACTCTCCCAATTTTGGGTGTTCAAATTTTCGATTATCCAAATAGTTTGACCCTACCATATCTTCCTGATCCGCTATTGCAAAAAATTGAGTAGGCCAACGAAAGAAATTTTGGTATTTTATAAAAATTGAGTAGAAATGCAAAATACCCATAAAGAGAGAGAGAGATGTGTGTTAAATTTTTAAAATTTTAATACTGTTAATGTGTGGAAAATTCATAAACTAGAAACATTGTTAATGTGTTAAATTTTTAACATTTTAACATTACTGTGTTGGTTAATTGATGTAAGTTACTTAATTGAATTATTAAAATGATCTAAAAATTAATAACAAAAAAATATTGTGCTCATTCGATTTCCTACTCGACTTCCTACCTGATTGTTTTGGACAGAATTCAGGTAGGAATAGTACACTTAATCGAGTAGGGTATGTCACGAAGAATTTCTTCCGCAAAATATAAGATAGGAAGATGAAAAATCATAATTCCAACTCATTAGATAGGGTGAACACCCCCTACTCCCAGTGAGTTTTACTGGTGAATATATAAAATCACTTCCATTTGAGAAAGTAGCAAATCCTCACGGTAGGCAAACAGAAATTGAGCTTTTACCCTAACCCATGGGGTTTTTGAAAGTTATATCCAAAAGAGGGTTGCTTTCAAACTATTTTTCAAACGTAGGTACTTTTAAAAACGTCATTCTAACTGACGTGTTTATACTAAAAGACGTTAGTTCCACTGA